TTTTGCCTCTCTTTCTGTCTATATATTTGTTTCCTTAATTACTTTCCTTTACATAAGTTTTCTATTTTTGTCCCCCTAAATATCTAATAGTTACATTCCACATTATATATCCAAAACAAGTATCATTTCTGCTAGCAGTTTCACTTATGATTTTCCCTATTACCAACAGTAACACAAGTTTAACCTTACTGTTTAATTAACAAGTATAAATAGTATTCTTTGTTTTCTCATATTCTACATCCGATCTATGTTATCTCTACATTTAAAAGACTGGCATCACTTATCTATGTCACACTTATCCTATTGCTAACACCGGAGCCATAGTCACCATAATTGTCACCGAGATGACTGCAATAACCTTCTAATTGGTCATAACATTTCAGCTCTTGCTCACCTACTGTCAATTCTATATACTGAGGTATCTTTTAAACATAAACCAGCAATCAAAAATTATTTAAAGTAAATAAAAACAGAGACACAACATATCAAAATCTCTGTAATGCAGCAAAAACAATGTTAACAGGAAGCACTATAACCTCTGCTGTCTTTTGGGTGCTACATACCTACCCCAAAAGCTAGAAAGATATCAAATTAATTATATAACAACACACTTAGAGGAACTAGAACAATAAGAACAACAAGAACATCAGAAGAAGAAAAGAAAACTAAAATCAGAGTGAAGCTGAACAAAATTGAGACCGAAAACCCATACAAAAAATCAATGAAACCAAAAGTTGATTCTTTGAAAAGACAATCAAGATCAATAGACCACTAGTTAGATTAACAAAGAAAAAAAAGAGAAGATCCAAATAAGCACTATCAGAAATGACACAACTGATCCCACTGAAATACAAAACACCCTCAGAGTCTATTATGAACACCTCTATTACATAAACTAGAAAATCTAGAGGAAAAGAATAAATTCCTAGAAACACACTATATCCTAAGATTGAATCAAGAAGAAATTAAGAAATTAAAACACTGAATAGATTAATATCAAAGTCTAAAATTTAATCAGTAATAAAAAACATGCCAACCAAAAAAGCTCTGGACCAGATGGATTCACACAGCCAAGTTCTATCAGATGTACAAAGAAGAGGTGGTAACAATTCTACTGAAACTTTTCCAAAAATTTGAGGAGGAGGCACTCCTTGGTAACTCATTCTATGAAGCCAGCATCACTCTGATACCCAAATCTGGCAAAGACACAACAAGGAAAGAAAACTACAGATCAATATCCCTAATGAACATAGATGCAAAAATCCTCAACAAAATACTAGCAAACCGAATTCAACAGCACATCAAAAAGTTAATTTACCATGATCAAGTAGGTTTCATTCCTGGGCGGCAAGGTTGGTTCAACATATGAAAATCAATAAATTTGACTCACTACATAAACAGAACTAAAACTGAAAACAATATGATCATTTCAATATATGCAGAAAAAGCTTTTGATGAAATCCAATATCTTTTCTTGATAAAAACTGTTGATGGTTAATATTAAGTGTCAGCTTGATTGGATTGAAGGATGCAAAGTATTATTTCTGGGTGTATCTATGAGGGTATTGCCAGGGAAGATTAATATTTGAGTCAGAGAACAGGGAGAGGCAGATCCACCCTCAATCTGGGTGGGCACCATCCAATTGGCTGCCAGGGTGGCTAGAAAAAGCAAGCAGAAGAAGGTGAGATGAGCTGAATTGCTGAGTCTTCTGACCTTCATCTTTCTCCTATGCTGGATGCTTCCTGCCTTTGAACGTCAGACTCCAGGTTCTTTGGCTTTTAGGGTCTTGAACTTTTACACCAGTGGTTTTCCAGGGGCTCTCAGGCCTTCAGCCACAGACTAAAGTCTGCACTATAGGCTTTCCTACTTTTGATGTTTTAGGACTCTGACTGGACCACTACTGGCCTTCTTTCTCCTCAGCTTGCGGAGGGCCTGTTGTGGGACTTCACCATGTGATCGTGTCAGTCAATTCTCCTTAATAAACTTCTTCTAATATATACATATATCCTATTAGTTCCGTTGCTTTAGAGAACTCTATCTAATACAAAACCCCTCAAGAAATGAGGCATCAAAGGTATAATAATCAAATAATAAGACCCATCTATGACAAACTCACAGCCAACCTCAAACTGAATGGGCAAAATCTGTAAGCATGCCCCTTGATAACTAGAATAAGACAAGGATATCCACTCTCACCACTCCCATTCAACGTAGTACTGAAAGACCTAACCAGAGCAGTCAGGCAATGGGAAAAATAAAAGATATCCAAATAGGAAAATAAAAAGTGAAACTATCTCTCTTCACTGATGATATGATTCTCTACCTAGAAAACCCTAAAGACTCTGTCAGGAGACCCCTGGAACTGATAAATGATTTAAGTAAAGTTTCAAGATACAAAATCAGTGTACACAAATCAAGAGCATTTTATATGCCAGTAATGATTGAGCTTAGAGACAAATCAAGAAAATCAAGAAAACAACCCCAGTTACAATAGCCACAAAGAGAATAAAATACCTAGGAACGTGTCTAACCAAGGAGTTGAAGATCTATACAAGAAGAACTACAAAACATTACTAAAATGAATCACTGATGACAAAAATAAATTTTAAAAAGTTCATGCTCATGAATACAAATAACCAACATTGTTAAAATAGCTGTACTGCCCAAAGCAATGTACAGATTCAATGCAATTCCTATACAACTTCAAATGACATTTTCATGGAATTTGGAAAAATGATTCTAAAATTCTTATGGACAAAAAAAAAAAGCCCAAATAGCAAAAGAAATCCTAAGCAAAAAGAACAAAGTTGGAGGCATTATAATACCTGACTGACTTCAAACTGTACTATAAAGATACAGTAACCAAAACAGCAGGGCACTGGTACAAAAACAAATATATAGACTGTCTCTATAGCATGGAACAGGTATAAAGAACCCAGAAATAAAGCCACACACTTACAGTCATATGATCTTCAACATAGTCAACAAAAATAAGCAATGGGGATCCTAATACGTGGCTAGTCATATGCAGAGGAATGAAACTGGAGACATACCTTTCACTAGATATAAAAATTAACCCTAAATGGATTAAATATTTAAATTTAAAACCTCAAACTACAAGAATTCCAGAAGAAAACCTGGAAAATACCATTGTGAACCTTGGCCTTGTGAAAGAATGTATAACTCAGTCCTGAAAAGCAATTGTAGCCAAACCAATATTGGCAAGTGGGACCTAATTAAACTAAACAGCTTCTGCACAGTAGAAGAAACTATCAACATAGTAAACAGCCTATAGAATGGGAGAAAATATTTGCAAACTATGCGTCCTACAAAGGCATAATATCTAGAATCTATAACGAACTTAAACAATTGAACAAACAAAAACAAACAAACCCATTAAAATGTGGGCAAAAGACCTGAACAGATACCTTTGAAAGAAGACATACAAGCAGTCAACAAACATATGAGCAAATGCTCATTATCACTAGTCATCAGAGAAATATGAATCAAAACCCCAATGAAATGCAATCTCATGACAGTCAGAATAGCTATTTTGTAAAAGTCAAAAAACAACATATGCTGGTGAGGCTGCAGAGAAAAGGGAATGCTCATACACTGTTGGTGAGAATGTAAATTGTTCCAACTACTATAAAAATTAGTTTGGAGATTTCTCGAAGAACTTAGAACACCATTCAACCCAGCAATCCCATTACTGGATATATATTCAAAAGAAAACAAAACATTCTACAAAAAAGAAACATGCACTCACATGTTCATTGCAACACTATTCACAATTTGAAAGACATGGAATCAATCTAGGTGCCCATCAATGGTGGATGAGACTTTTTTAAAAATGTGGTGCATATATACCAAGGAATGCTATGCAACCATAATAAAGAATGAAATCATGTCCTTTGCAGCAACATGGATACAGCTAGAGGCCATTATCCTAAGCAAATTAACGCAAGAACAGAAAATCAAATATTACATGTTCTTACTTATAAGTGAGAGCTAAACATTGGGCAGTTATGTTCATAAACATGACAAAATAGAAACTGGGGACTACTAGAAGCTGGGGAAGCAAGCAGGGGAAGGGTTGACAAACTATCGGCTACTATCCTCGGTACCTGGGTAAGGAGATCATTTATACCATAAACCTCAGCATCACACAATATACCCAGGTAACAAACCTGCACATGTATCTCATGAATCTAAAATACCAATTGAAATATGCACACACACACACATACACACACAGGCCATGACTCTCTGCTCCAAGGATTCCCCATCACACTAATAAGAAAACACAAATCTTTTCAATACCTTGCTTTTCTGTCTGTCTTTCCCTCCCACCATTGTCTCCTTAGCTTGTTCTCTTCTAGCCACATTGATCTTCTGGTTGGTTCGGTGACAAGAATTTTTTTTTCCCTCTTGAAATGTGATTATGACCAACAAACACCTTCTCTAGACTTCATATGACTCGTGGCTTTCTTCTTATATATTAATTCATCTAACAGTTTATTTGAATTAGCGCTTTCTTCTTGTTCTATTTCCTTTTCCTGTTTTAGTTTTCTTCATAGTCCTTATCACTTTTTGACCCCATGTTATACATTAAATTGTCTATTTGTTTCCATGGATTCCCAGAATTATAAGTCCCATATGCACTGTTTCATTATTTGTGTATTTCACTACATTATTTATAGTACAAGGTCAAGACCAGCAAAAACTAGTTGTCTAGTAAATACTAAATGAATGAATGAATCACTAAATAAATTTGAGATAATTTCTTAAATATATTCCAAACTTGAATGTAATTTTTTTATTTGACTTTCTGTTTTAAAATTGCCGTGATCTTTGCTGTGTGTTCTGATTGTGCATTTTACATAGGACACTATTCTATATTTGTTTTGTTTTTGTTTTTGAGACAGGGTCTCACTCCGTTGCCTAGACTAGAGTGCAGTGGCACAATCTTGTCATACTGTACCCTCTGCCTCCTGGGTTCAAGTGATTCTCCGACTTCAGCCTCCTGAGTAGCTGAGACTACAGGTGAGTAGCACCATATCTGTCTAATCTGTGTAGTGTTGGTAGAGACAGGGTCTCCCTCTTCTGTTCAGGCTGATCTCAAACTCCTGGACTCAAGCTGTCCTCCCGCCTTGACCTCCCAAAGTGCTGTAATTATGGGTATGAGCGACTACACCAGGTCCTATTCTGTTTTTGTTAATGAAACATGTTTTTGAGTATCTTTTAATTATAATTGAAATTTATTTTAAAAGTACAATTAAAATTATTTTTGTTTGCTGAGTCATTTAAATTTTTTTTATTCCTTGTTTTTCTCTGATATATGACAATTGTTCTCAATTGTCTGATAATTCTTGGCTGTTTATTAAGTTATTCACTCATTTTTTCCTCTATTCAGGATCTCTATTGAGCTGAGTAGAACTTTATTCCTTGGGGTGGCAGTATGAACCAAAGCAAGAAATGAAAGCAACGTGTTTCCACACATCTAAGAACTCAAAACAATTCCAAAAGCCACCATAATTGGTTTGACCTTATCCTTGTCCTGGAATTTTCAGTAATGGCGTTCTTGTAGAACAGATTAAGCAGCACAGTTTCATTTAATGTATTTGTGATGATTCTGACCATATTACTGAAAGGCGTAACAGTGGTACCAAGGGAGTTAACAATTGCAAAGGTGCATTATTCTCTTATTACTTGGTTGGGCTACTTTTTTTTTTCTTTTTTTTTTTTTTTTTTTTTTTTTTTTGGTGAGATGGAGTCTCACTCTGTTGCCCAGGCTGGAGTGCAGTAAAGTCATCTTGGCTCACTGCAAGCTCGGCCTCCCAGGTTCACGCCATTCTCCTGCCTCAGCCACCCAAGTAGCTGGGACCACAGGCACCCACCATCACACCTGGCTAATTTTTGAATTTTTGGTAAAGACAGGGTTTCACCGTGTTAGCCAGGGTGGTCTCAATCTCCTGACCTGGTGATCTGCCCTCGTCGGCCTCCCAAAGTGCTGGGATTACAGGCGTGTGCTACCACGCCTGGCCTGGGCTACTGATTTTCTAAAATTAGAATGTATTAAAGTAAACCCACAAAATGAAATGTAGCCATATAAAATATAGACTTTAAGTTTTGACCAATGTATGCACCTTTCTGGTCATCAACATGATCAATGTCGTGTTAACTGTACAATCAGTAAGATATTTCCGTCACCATAAAAAATTTTCTCATATCTATTTGCCATCAGTTCCCCAACCTCTTGCCTCAGGAAACCAGCAGTCTGCTTTTTGTCCCCATTGATTCATTTCTCTTGTGCTAGAAATCAATGTAGATGGAATCATACAGTATGCATTCTCTTTCATCTACCTTCTTTTCCTCACAACATTTTTTAGATTGATCCAAGCCATTGTGGGTATCAGTAGCTCATTACTCTTTATTGCTGAATAATATTTTGTCCTAGGATTATACCAAAATTTGTTTATCCATTCACTTGTTAATGGACATTTAACATGTTTCCAGTTAAAGGTTATTATTAATAAAGCTGTTATAAACATTTGTGGACAAATTTTTGTGCCAAGTTATCTCCTTTATTTTTGGGGGATAAATACTTAAAAGGGGAATTGTTGAATTGTGTAGTAACTATATTTTTAGTTTTGCAAAAATTTTCCAAACTCTTCTAATTGTGTCATTTTATATTAATATGAGAGTTTCCATTGCTCCATGTCTTTACAAACACTTCATTTTGTCTCTCTCTCTATTTTTAACCATCCTGAGTGTTGTGTAATAGTATCTTATTTTGGTTTTCATTTGCTTATGCCTGCTTACTAGTGATGTTGAGCACAATTTCATGTTGTCTTTTCATGTTGCCATTTCTATGTTGTCTTTTGTGAAATATCTATTCAAGTATCGATTACTTTTTTAAAAAATTGGGTTATTTGTCTTTATATTATAGAATTGGAGAAAATTTTTATATAATTTGAATACCAGTGCTTTGACTGATATATGTATAGACAATATTTTTACTAGTGTGCTTGACTTCTCATTTTCTGAATGGTATCTTTTGAAGGGAGGAAGTTTTTAATTTTGATGAAGTACCTTATATTATTATTTACATTATAGTTTGTGTGTTTTATTTCCTATGTAAGATATCCTTACCTACCCAATTTTATTAATACTTTTCCTTATATTTCCTTCTAGAAGATGTATACTTTTAGCTTGTGACTACAGGTCTAGAATTGATTTTGAGTTATTTCTGTGTGGTGCAAAGTGAAGGTCAAAATTTATTTATTTATTTTCCAAAAAAATTATCCCGCTTTTCTAGCTCCATTATTTTAAAAGATTATCTTTCTCCTCAATAATACATTGGCATATTTATTGAAATGAACTGACCTTACATATGTAGGTTTATTTCTGGATCTATTGTCTGTTCTGTTCTACTGATGTATATATCTATCATGATGCAAATTTTATGCTTATACTAAGCCTGAAATGGGGTAGTGAGAATTCTTCAATTTTGTTCTTCTTTTTCACAATCGTTTTGGTCATTGTATGTTCTTTGTATTTTCTAAATTATTTTAGAATCTGCTTGGCAATTTCTGTAAAAATTATATGCTTTGACTTTGATAGGCATTGTATTGAAACCATAGATCAGTTTTGAAGAATTGCCATCTAATTGAGGTTTCTAATCCATGAGTATGTCATATTTTTCTACACAATTAGATATTATATAATTTGCCCCAGCAGTTTTCTGGGATAAATATTTGTGTACAAATATTCGTGCCAAGTTATGCCTTTATTTTTTTGTGGTAAATACTTAAGAGTGGAATAGTTGGATTGTATGGTATGTATATGTTTAATTTTGTAAGCCATTTCCAAAGTATTTTCAGAGGGAATTGTGCCATTTTATATTAGCATGAAAGTTTCTACTCCATGTCTTTACAAACACTTGATTTTGCCCATCTCTTTAGAGGGATTACCCATCTTTTTTGATTGATAAATTTGTTAATAAATATATTAAGCTTTTGATACTGCTAGAAATATTTTTTATTTCATTTTATAATTGTGTGTTTCTTGTATTAGATATATAATTGATATTTATATGTTGACCTTGTATCCTGTGCCCATTGTTAAATTCTCTTATTACATCTAACAGATTTTTGAGAGTCCTTGGAATTTTATGCATATATGATCTCATATATGACCACAAAATCTCTTCCTTTCCAATATGTATATTTCTTACGTATTTTAATCTTTGTCACATTGTTTAGGAACTCCAGTGGAATATTTAATATAACTGATAACAAGGAGTATCTTTGCTTTTGTTTCTAGTCTTGGGTTGTAGAAGGTCACACTGACTTACACCATTTCATAACAGTGTAGGTCTTTTGTAAGCACTGTTTAACAGATTCAGGAAGTCTTCTGATAACACTAGTGTGCTAGGAGTTTTCATCAACAATTGATATTGAAATTTGTGAAATTCTTATTCTGTATCTATTGAGAGAATCATATGATCTTACATTTTAAATCTGTTAATATGGTCAGTTACATTTTTTGAGTTATAAATTTTAATCTGATGTTACATTTCTACGATAAACAGGACTTGATCATAGTATACTATCCTTTGAATATAACTACTAGATTTGATTTGCTAATATTAAAGATGATTCTATGTATTCTATATACTCCTTCCTGTAATATAATAGCTGTTTTACTATTTTTTTCTTGTGTTGATTTAGGTTATTTGTATCTTTTACAAATATTTTCATATTGTATAAATTTATCAATATAGTCCTATATTTATTTTTGTATTTACTATATTTTTGTTTCTATATGTGTGGCGACAACACTTAAGATTTACTCTCTTTTCAAATTTAAAGTATATAGTACAGTATTATTACCTGGAGTCACCATACAATACTTTAGATCTCCAGGACTTACTCATGGTGCATAACTGAAACATTGTATCCTTTGATTAGCTTCTCCCAATTTGCCCCTTTCCTAACCTCCTGGTAACCATCATTCTACTCTCTATTTATATGAATTTGACCATTTTAGGTTCCACATTCAAGTAAGTACATACAATATAATTTGTCTTTCAATATCTGTCTTATTTTACTTAGCATTATATTATCCAGTCCCAACCATGTTGTTGTAAATGGCAGGATTTTCTTATTTTTAAGGCTGAATAATATTCCATTGCATGTACATACCTCACTTTATTTATTCATCATTCATAAACATTGAGGTTACTTCCATATCTTAACTGTTGTGAATATTGCTGCAATGAACATAAAGTGCAGATATCTTTTGGAAATACTGATTTCAATTTATTTGAATAAATACGCAGAGGTAGGATTGCTGAGTCATATGATAGTTCTATTTTCAATTTTTTGAGGGAAACTTCATTCTGTTTTTTTATACTGGTTATGCCAACTTACATCACAACCAACAGTGTACAAGGATTCCTTTTTCTCTACATCTTTGCCAAGACTTTTGGTTGAATGTTTGTTTGTTTTGTAATAGCCGTCTTAACAGAGATGATACCTCCTTGTGATTTTGATTTGCATTTCCCTCATGATTAGTTATGTTGAGCACATTTTATATACTCATTATTTATTAGTATCTCTTCTTTGTAAAAATGTGTATTCAGGTCATTTGCCCATTTGTTAATTTGATTATTTCTTTTGTGCTACTGAGTTCTATGAGTTTTTATATGTTTTGAATATTAACCCTTTATTAGATATATGATTTGAAAATTTTTTCTCTGATTCTGTAGGTTGTCTTTTCATTTTATTGATTATCTCCCTGTCAGTATAGAAGCTTTTGAGTTTGATATAGTTCTACTTATTTATTTTTTCTTTTGTTGCTGTGCTTTTGAGATCATATCAAAAAAATTGTTGACAAGAAGAGTCAATATCAGGGAGGTCTTTTCTTATGTCTCCTTCTGAATGTTTTAGAATTTCATATCTTATATTTAATCTTTAAATTATTTTGAGTTGACTCTTTTGTGTTTGGTGTAAGATAAAGTTCCAGTTTTATTCTTTTGC